CGGCAGAAGTGGTGGCAAAGCAAAAAAAGAACTGAAGCTGAGGCAAGAGTGCAATCAGCAACGGTGATTTGCAAAAAGGGACAGCGATGTCGTTCCTGGTAGATATGCAAAGTGAGAAAGCCTCAAAGTCTGGCCTGAGCCAAGAGTGGAAGCAGCACTCGGCCTCCCGACCACAGCCTGCTTTCTATTTTTCAGTTACACTCCAGAGCATTTCACCATTTCTAGCTCTGTTATCGGCACCTCCCCTCGCTCCCCTAAGGTAGCTGGGTATCAAAAACACCCCAAACCGTCAAGAGTCCTGCATTTCTCAGTGTGGTTCTCCCCACTGCAAGCATGCTGGAACACCCGGCCACTCCTGCACTGCTTTCCTTCAAAAGGGACCATGATAAAAGAGTGACACCGAGTTTGTCTGCGCTCTCTGCTTCCCGCGTGGCCTCGGCCTCGTGAGCCCTCCTAGAGTCAAACTGGAGCCTGGGCCAGACACAGCTCAGCGAGCGCTGACCGACTTCTCTGCTTCACAAAAATTGGGTAGGAATAACAGGCTGTCACGTGGGAGATGAATCAGACGTACGAGGAAGCAGCCCCTGCTTGTGGTCTTGCAGTGCCAGCTCTGGAAGGACACAGCGGCACAGCCTGCATTTCCACAAGCCTGGAGACGTGGACGCTGTGGGAATGTGAAGGGATCCAGCCCGGAGCCCCCTGGGGGCAGGAGAGCCGGCCCTGCACCCAGCCTCTGCCACAGCCGCATGGGGACAACTCTGCCAGCCCCTGGGGACCCTGCAGGCGCTGCCTGCGACGCCTAGAGACACGTCCCAAAGCAAGAGTTTTTCGAACAGAACCACATGCTTACACTGAACAGATCCCTGAGGCCTCCGGAGAGTCCAATGTTGTGTTTAAAGCACTTAGGATTTTTCCTCCGCTGCTCCGGTGGGTCAGGGCAGAGCAGAAGCTGTGGTTTAAGCTGCTTGCTCCTGGTTCAGGCTTAGCCCCACGGATGCAGGCAGGAGCGGCGCGGCCATCCCCACTGCCCCGGCTCTGCTGGTGGCACCTCTGGAAACTCGCGCTCACCACACACCTAGGCCCCGAGTTTCCATGAGGAGCAGTCCTGGGAGGCAGGATGGCATCCACGGGAGCTCCGGCGGCAGGAAAATTTGAAGAAGCGTTTATGAGATTGGGCACAGGAGACAGCTCTCCAAAGAATTTTTCCTCTTTTCCTCTATTAAAAAAATAAATAAATTCACAGCAACCACTCGCCACCTCTCCGCTCTGCCCCACCTCCTTCCAGGAACGATGGATCCCACTAACTGCAAATTGGATCCCAGGTGTACCCATATATACTAGACATACGTAGCAGCTCCTTATAGGCAGGAGGGCTCTTGCACTGTTTCTGTGGAAACCAAAGTATCACATTTCCTTGCTCTTAGGCTCCACGTTCTCAACTGTAACGTGCATTTCCCCAGACTAAGTCACTTCTGGGCCTCGCAGCCCCCTGCAACACCCTCGCTGGGCACTGCGGGTCCAAGTCCATCTCGGGAGTCCTGTTTAAGGCGCTGGTGATGCCCGAGGAACCCTGCAAACCTGCTGCCCTGCAAACACGCACGGGAGCCGCGCCGAGACAGGCTCCTCGCACGCAGCAGGGAGGGCAGCACGGGGACACGGTACTGTGCACCCAGGGGACGTCAGCGCGTCCCGCAAGGACCCCACAGGGACATTATGGCACTCAGACATAAATTTTCTCCGGATCCAGGCATCACCACACAAGAACCCGAAGTTACTTCAACGTAAAGAGCAAATTCAGCCTCAATGCAATGGCAGGGCTCAGCAGAGCTGCGCTACAGGGACAAGCCCAAGCCACCCAGCCTGTGCTTACATGTAAGCACAGCTCAGAAATCCTTCCAGGGTGATGGAGAAGGGTCCTGCTGCGCCAGCACAGCTGGTCCCAAAGACATCGTCCCGCCCAGGAGCCAAAGCAGCGCATGGTGCTCGCGGCTGTGGGGGGCAGCAGGTCTTTCACATGGCCCTAGGGCTGCTGTGCACTGTGCAGCTCCCAGTTTCCTCCCCAGAACATTTGCCAAGATTCCCACCCAGAATCAGCAGTAATGCTTCCACCTCACACTTGTTTCAAGATCCTTTTTTTTAGGATTGTCTTCAGCATTTTGGGTATCCTCCCCACCACAGTAACTATGCACTTATCCGAGCTGCCAGGAAGGCAGGAGTTTGTTAGTCTCCAAGTGAAATACTTTTATCTTCACAAATGTGCAAAGATACCATTGTCAATCATATGGTCTCCCTACTGCACACAAACTACACACACAAACATGTTCAGAAGCTGGACCAGGAAAGAAAGCGATTTACAACGAAGCACCTTGTTATAATCCTGCTACCCTCCCTCGCACGTACAGGCCGGGCCTCTTCCTGTAGCAGCCCAAGGAAAACCAAGAGCTGGTTCAAACGGGATGTCAAAACGTCAAATGGCGCTTACTTCACCTTTGCACTTCTGAAACAGCACAGAAAGATCCTATGAAAAAGATACTGTGATAATTCCATCCTTGTTATCTCTCAGCAACAAAGTAAAGAAAGTTTGCACACTGCTACCCTCAAGAAGTTGACTAACCTAACAATGTCATTGGACTAGTTTTCTTCGTTGCCATCTCCTGTCCCGAAAGCCCCTCCTGCCTCATCTCCCTGGCTGGCAGGTTGTCTCTTTGCCAAGGATCCTTCTTTCCCCCCTCACCTCGTAGCACCCAGACCCCGGCCTTGGCAGAGCTTAGCAGGACTTTCTCTGCAGACCGTAATCCCTGGTGGGAGATGAGTCGAGGTAGGTGTTGCAGGGAGGACAGCCCTTCTCTCCCACACCCAAACTTGCTCTGGCCTGGCAGTGTCATACCGGATCCTGCCATCAAGTTAAGGGCTCTTGCAGGAGAAATCGGCGCAACTACTTCATTCACCTTCTTGGCTTATGCAGCTCTGGGTTCTAGGTTGCCCCATGATTTAGCAGCCCATTAGCTACACAACAAATGTTACTAGCAAACATCAACAAAAAATCCTACTCATTTTGATGGGAGCAGTAATAGGTCCTTGAAAAGCTCTTATTGTCTCAGGCAAAAAACTTCCCTGCAATTTTGCTGTTGTCCTTAAGAGTCCTGAGCCAGAGCACACACCCAATGAGAGCTGCTCAGACCCCTGAAAGTAAATATGAAGTAAACAGTGGTTCAAGCTCTCTGCCCTTTATTGCTTCCTTGTGATACTTAACTAGCCCTCTCTAGTATATCATCTCTGCACTGCTCCCCATGCTGCAGTCGCTAGGAATATTCGGGCCTGCCTTCCCTCTGGACTGCAGGAGGATTCTTTGAAGGGCTCACAGTTGAACAGTGGTATCACAATAGGCTGAAGTGGAAGGTTCAGCTTCCAGCCCTCAGCTGGGCTCAATGCCCCTCTCTAACTGGGCTCCAAAGCTGCAGCTCAAATTTCAGCCTATGTAAAGTCCCTGCTCAGCTCCCCTCCTTCGGCAAAGGAGAGGAGAGCCAGGAGAGCCCTTCTCTAAAGGAAGAAAAAAAAAATAAAAGAGGCGGGGAAGGAAGCGAAACCACATGGAGATGGTTTTTTGTACATCAGAAGGAGCAGTGAAAGGCGCAGGCAACTTTTCAAACATGCCAGAAGAGCTTAGCGTGATTTGCAGCTACGAGGAGGGAGGGATAAACAGGTCCAACAACAAACGCTGAACTTTTTGCGGGGAAAAGGCAATCAAGGCAGCCGTGACCTGCAGGGAGACCCTGGCACCCCCTTCTTGGCTTTGGCGGAGCATTGAGGTACTCATTTCATTTGGCATCCCGGAACCATCAGCATGAACTTCAGATACCGACACCTCATTAAGGGGAGACAAAGACTTAACTCGAGCTTCAGCGCCCGCGCGCGGCTGTCCCATCTCACAAGATCCCATCGGCTGCTCTCCGACGCTGGCCGAGGTCCGCAGGGAGCCCGACCCCCACGTACCACATTAGAGCTTGGGAGCTTTCCAAGTATGCTCCGAATTGGCTGCGTCTCCCAGCACAAGAGTAAGAAGAGCAGACACAAGGCCTGCATGTCACGGAGATCAGGGATGCCTTGCTCATCTCGTAAGCAGCCTAGAGGATTCCCTCCCAGTCCTGCTGGACCACGCTTAGGGAATAGAAATCCACTTCCTAACACATCCCGGGTCCCACTGGCCAGCGACTGCCTCCAGAGAGAGGAGCCCGGGCCAGCCTAGATAACGACCAGGACCTCAAGCAGTTGAATCACTGTGAAGGCTGAACGGCCACAGCTGCAAGGCCAGCCAAGTTTGGAAAGACACTTATAAAAAAGAATGTAGAACATCCACGATAGTTGCAGGGGGTTTTATTTATCACCGAAATAGGCACTACATGCTGCTGCCGCTATGTTTTTCCTCCAGAGAAGCATTCTGCAAAGCGTGTTACCTAGAGCAGCGGTTCCACCTTTCCTGAAACGCAGCCACTTCTGGGGTGAAAACCTCGCAACTGTGAACCACTGGAGGGAAATGCATTCTGCCAGGCTAACCACAGCAAACTTGTATAAGCAAATTTAATTGATCTATTACACTCGGCTCATTTACACGAGTGGAGCGCTCCTGAATGGCTGAGCTTTCCCTTACAGCAGGCTTCTTGCACACCAAGGACAGCAATTTCATCTGTGTGCATTACTGGTATAAATACTGAGCAGAAAGGGTCTGGCTCTTGCAAAGATTTTGACTATTCCTTGACACAGCAGACAAGGAGGAGCAGCTCCGCTCTAGGGGCGCTCACATTTGTTGCAACAGAGTTCCCAAACAGACACACCACGCAACATAATTTCCCTGTCTGCTGGCACCCTTCCACTCTGCTCAGCTCTCGCTGTCCCTTCAGCTCCCAGTTCCTCAGCCCAGGCAGCTCTGCTCCGTTATTGGAAGACTCAGGGGAGCCCGTCCCCCACAAGCCAACTATGTCCCCTTCTCAAGCGAGCAAAGGGAGTGTTAAAGCCCAGCAACTGTCTCCTGTTCAAACCAGATGGCAGAAATAGCTGGAGTGCTGTCAAACAAAGTATACATTCAATAGCGCAGCGTAACATGAAAGCCCCTTGAAGCAGGCGTGCGCACGCACAGGCACCCACAGCCGGGGACCTAGCTATGGCAGAGAGGACACGATTAACTGCTCCAGTGGCTTAAGTGTCTGTCGACACTCAGGACACTCACAGCAGGAGCACTGGCCAAAATTCAGTGGCTTGTTCAGTCCTTGAGCTCTCCTGGAACTATAAATTGTAGCAAGCTGCTGTAATAAACACAGAAACCCATCAACCCCACAACAAGATTAAGACTTTGTGTCACATCTAGCTGATTTCCAGCTGTATAGTAGAAGAAAAGCATCAGAAACCCTATGCTCTAAGCAGCACAAGCCACAAGAAAAACACAGCAACTCCCGTGCCCAAACGTGGGGACACGCACTGAGCTTGACACCTCGCTCCCAGCTCACTTACCTCATCCATTTTCTCTGATGTTGGAGTCTGGTCACCAGGCACCATTTCTTTAACCTCCGAGGTCTCCGTTTTGGAGGTCCTGCTCAGGGGATCGACAGGAGTCATGCTGGCCTCCGACGCTGCCCTGGAATTCTGACCCAGAGAGGCTGTCCCAGGGATGGGCTCGTCGTCATCGGAGTCAGGCAGCGGCGTGGGGCTGATGTCCTCCAAGCCCGTGCTGGAGGGGCGCGAGGATGGTGTTTGAGCTCTGTAACCAGGCTGAGAGTTCGAACTGTACATGGGGATTGGAGAGAGCTGGGAAGAGGAAGAGGAGATGGGGCTACCTTCCATTCGGACCTCGTTATCTGAGTCATGTTCATTAAGAAAGGGTAACTTTGTTCTCTGCTCTTTTAAGAGCATCTCAATCCTTGAGTCTAAGCTGTTATGCTGCATTTCCGATTCCATGGTTGGGGTGCCGGGGGTCTCGCTCCTCTCCGGAGTCTGAGAGAAGGTTGTTGTACTCGGTTCGGGAACGGAGTTCGAATCTGGCAGGGGTGGAGGAGGCTCCTCCGGCTTTTCCTTCACGGGAACAAAATCAATAGTAGTGGCAGTGCTACTTTCCACAACCATCTCAGTCGGAGGCGGTGCAGGTCTTCGGTACTCCGCTTCCCGGGAAGTTTGGGGAAACTGCTGCTCATCAGCCTGGGGAAAAACAGCTGGTGCTTGGTAGGGAGAGAAGGCAGATTTGTAGCTTGAAGAACCAGAGTGGCTCAAGGGCGGAGTGTGAGAGAACTGAACGGGTTCTTGCTGATGAGGTTTGAACGTACTAAACTGATGCTCCGGCCCTCGGAAAACGCCTGCTGAATTATGCACATAGTGATGTCCGGGGCGACGGTTGTAGGCGTCCGTAAACTTTGTTTCGTGCCTCCTGGGTTTGTACGCACTGTCCTGCCCAAAGTGGTACACAGGCGTCGTCTGCCGACTGGAATAGGTGGAATCCTGGGAAAAGGGCGTCCCGAGGCGTGGGGTGTGAGGGGTTCCTTGGGACTGAGGGGTGAATTGGCTGTACGAGTTTGGGGTGTCCTGCCGACAGCTGGAATAGGCTGTGTCGTGGGAAAAGGGTGTGCTGCTGTTGGGGGTGACCGACGAGCTCGCAGAGGACAGGGTACTGTCCTTCAGGCGTTTCAGAGAATCCGTCAGCTGTAGAAGCAGAAAAGAAAAAAAAAAGCATATAAATATATACTCTAAAACCTATTTTTCTCATCTGTTTGGTTTTCAGAGAAGTTGAGAACCCTGGAGTTTGCATTGACTTCCATTGCAACAAAAGGGATCTGGGTTCTAACAGCCCTGAAAACAAATAACATTATCCACTAAGAACAGCTCCCTTCGATAAAAAAGGCATGTAAAGAAAAACTTGTCCATAAGAAAAGGAGAAAGAAAGCAGATAAATACTGTTTATCATTTATAAGCTATATACACAAGAACATTACATTGGTGAAGAGGAGATTTCCATGAATACTTTTAGCTAAAAGATTTTCTCTCAACTATGTGAAGCTCATCTAAATCTCAAGTAAGGAAGGAAATGGCAAAAACCTGCACTAAAACCACAAAAACGGAGAGCACTTCTGAGATATGAAACGATTAAATTAGCTTATCTGTGAACAAAACATACAAATCAGCACACTGCTAACCTGCGATCAAATCTGTGCAGCAAACCCTTACTGCAGCGGGGAGGG